GGGGTATATCACGTAGTTCTCATGATTACGTATCCAGTAGCCTAAACGCTCATCATCATCATCATCTCCATCACCACCATCATCATCATCATCATCATTATCTCCATTACCACCATCACCACCATCATCATTGTCATCATCATCATCATCATCATCATCATCATCATCATCATCATCATCATCAATGTGATAAGCACTTAGGATACTCACCAGACAGGAGTAGAGCGGCCAGGACGAGCCAGCTGTTGTGTTGCCAGTTGGGACAGACCATGATGACGTCTGCTGAGTGGCATTGTAGTCCTCACTCACTCACTCTGGGGTGGCAGGGAGGGGGGGTAGGTCCTGCTGGCACTGCAAGTTCGGGGAGGGGGGGTGGGTCACGGCATGTCCATCTGTGGGAGGTTGGCGAGTGCTCTTGTGTTGTTTGCTCCTCTCTAATCTAAGGTCTATCGTCCTTATCTCTCCTCCTTCTTTTCTGTGTGTGTTACTCTCTTATTACAGCTATAATCTTCGGCCCGTATATGACCGTAATGTTGCGAGTGCTTTAAAACTCTGACTAAAACTAAATTAAACAGTTTAACTCTGGATAGAGAAATTGCAGAACTTGACACTGCAGGTGTGGGTCACCACTTGTTCATTCATTATCTATGGCTAGAGAAATTGGTCATAACATGTCCACAATCTATGGCTAGAGAACTTGTTTTATTGGTCATAACATGTGCACAATCTATCTATGGCCAGAGGTGTAATCACAGATCAAGGCACAGAAGTTTAGAATATCGTGCAATGTTCTTTCTTTGTTTTTGACGAGAATGCATAGACCCTAACACAGCAAGATGTGTTAAATTATTATCATCTTCCTTTTTTTATATCTGTTTAGAGAAATTAGAAATCCTGACGATGAAAATTGTTGTGTATCGTGTCTTTACTCTATCTTTATCAAGACAAATAAAAAATCCTGACGTAGGGAGTTGTTTTATAGCATGCCTTCACAATATATTTGACGAGAAGAATCACAAATCCTGGCATTGAATAATGTATTACATCATGTTCTCACCCTGTTTCTGAAAACAGAAAGCACAAATCTTGACAGAAAAGGCTGTTTTAGAACATGCCCTCACAATATCCTTGACGAGAAATCCCAGAAAAATGAAGCACAAACACCACAGGTCAGCATACCGATATTCAAACGAATATATCAGAATACAGCTCGCCCTCCGCTGGCTTCTTGTATGAATATACAGGAGAAAGTAATCCAACAAGATGCATAACGAAAATCTGAAGAAAAATAAAAACAGCAAACTGTTAAATTGTCACATGGACAGTGAGGTTGTTGCTTTTTTTCCACAGTATAATTCTGTCAACTAAATGTCACTCAAGAAAGCTGAATATTTTAAAAATCTGATTAGGCCTATATGTCTTGTCCTTTTTCAGAGCGTAACGTTCTGAGCCGTTTCTCAGAAAAGTAATAAAGTAATCCTTTTCCAGTCTGAGGGGTGGGGGTGGGCAGAGATCTAGAAAATGTGCTAAAATCAAAACTAAACGGCTAACAAACATCATCATCATTATCATCATCATCAATATCGTCTTCATTATCATCATTATCATCATCATCATCATCATCATCATCATCATCATCATCATCATCATCATCATCACCATCATCATCAATGTAACAGATTCTCAACAGCTTTGGCTAATCCAGTCTGATATACAATCATCATCATCATCATCATCATCATCATCATCATCATCATCATCATCATCATCATCATCATCCTTACAGTTCCTGATACATACAGTATACTAGTAAGACGTAAACGTAACTAACATCTGGCACAGATAAGAAAAAGGACAAAGAAACAAACAAACAAACAAACAAACAAACAAACTAAAACAATCCTTTCCCCCGCAAAGCATCCTGCCACGGTGACTGATACCTACCTCCCTCCAGCTCCAGTTGCTGAAATTACTAGAAAAATCTACTCTGAATGAAAAAAAAAGCGAAACAAAAAAAGAAATACCGGTACTACACATGAGCTTATCAGCATTGTGTTACAGCAGCTGGCCATACACACAGTGACACTGATCTCATCTCATTAAATCATTCCCGCTTGCTTCGTCAGTATAATAATTACATTGTAATTTTTTTAAAAACTTTTTGAAGAGCACATGTGTTGTACTGTTTTCACGTTCCGTGCATACTCTCATACGCTTAGGGGTAAACTGCAAAATAGCAAAGCAAAAGGCTTTATTATTCTATTATCATTATCATTATTATTATTATTATT